TTTCTATTAAAAGCTTTACGAACTGCCGTTAAACCAGTAGTGTTATCGATATTGGTATACATAGAAGAAACGTCGATAGAAATTAAAATAGCATTAGAGGGAACTCGAAGATTTTTTATTTTATTGACAAAATCGGTTGTGTCTTTAAGGTAGGCGCGATGTTGGCATGCTAGAGGTAGTAAGAAATGATCAATGTATTCTGACACTGCATATGACTCACTACCACAGTCAGATATAATCGGGCGGCCTTTAGGGATTTTATTCGAGATAAACCACTCCTTGGTTGGATTCTTATGGATTTTAGGCAAAGTGTACAAATGTCTCTCGCGACAATCAGGTTTGGCAGACAGATAGTCATATTGTTTCTGTTTGAGATAACTAGTTTTGACTAAATCGGCAAGAATATTATTAATCATGTTAGCAGTTTCTTTGAAAATTGGTTTCGGTAAAATGGCATAATGTTTAGGATTATTCAGTTGATTCTCTGCTTCTGAAACGTAATCTTCCCTATTCAGAATGACACAACATGAACCTTTGTCACTCTTTTTAATAACAATGCTATCGTCTTTCTTAAGTAAGTTTAACGCTTCACGTTCCACTCGTGTGAGATTAGGCTTTTCGTGTGTTATGGAAAGGTTCATTGTTTGGCTATTCATACTAGCAAATGCTTTCAATATTTCAGGATGGATGGCGGCCTGAGGGGGTGTCCACGTGAATTTAGGAATAAACATTGTTCTAGCACCACGTGGGGGGTGGTTTCGAAAAAAATATGTGCAGCTAAGATTTCGTTGAAATCGTTCAATGGATGGTCGGAGATAATTCAAGTTAGCTATCTTTGGTGTGGGAATAAACTTAAGTCCACGGTCTAAGATTGAATGCTGAAGGGGTGTGAGAATTTTGCGGCTCAAGTTAACTACAGTTTGGCCTAGCGGTGGCCTCTCAGTATTTTTATCCCCAGTAATTAGTTTAAAGACTTACTCGATGCTTGAAGCTGGTGTATCCAAAACAAATAAATGCTGTTTGCTGTTTCTGGAGACCAATGAAGATTATCAACTGTTTCGAATTCTTCTTCGTAGGGTGGTAAGATTGTTGCGCTGTTGATACTGGACTCCATCATCATGTTGTTGAGGGTGCTGAGGTTCTGTTGTGCTTTCTTCGAGATTTTATTTGAAATGGGTATACATGTGAAGAGGATCTTGGAGTTTGGGAAGGTTTTGTTGGCTGTGGCGATTAATTTCTGGGCTTGGTTAAAGGAGGTCTTTGGTATCTGATCACGGTGGTTGAGGCCTACATGAAGAATAATGGTAGTAGGTTTGGGATCATGGTCGTATGATTCCAGGATTGACTGTATGTGATGGATTTGGGCACCGGGGTAAGAATGTATTTCGGTGTCTGAACTGGTTTTGGTAATTCGATTCAGGTTAGATGATCCAATTATTAAGGTTGATTTCTTTAGAGCAGGTAGTTTCCATAATGATTTGTCCTTGGTTTGGTGATAGTACGGTGTGATTGGTACTGGTTTGGTAGTTGTTAGAATTGTAGCATTGGGAACGGACTGGGATCTGGTTCGAGGAGGGGAAGGTCTGGATACATGTCTCGACTTGGATGGAGACTGAGGGGTGGTTTGTTGGTCCAAAAACGCACAGAAGGAAGAAAGGTTGGCGGATCCTGGATCACGTGGTGAAGATTCAGATGGTGTGGAAGGGGAAGACGAGTCTGAAAGTGAAAAGAGAAGGGGTGTGCCCTCTCTACGAGAGCGTTTACCTATGTCTGCTGGACTAGGGGTAGGTGAACTTCGGGCTCGTTTAGGGGTTTGGTTCGGCAGCGTGGTAGCTCTAGATGGTGCAGGTGTAGTGTCCATTTCAGTTGGTAGAGATGTGGTTACTCTGGTTTTTGTTTCGTTGATTGTTTGGTAGAATTTGGAAATTACAGCTTGAGTGAGACGTTTCCCATAGGAGCGACGGGCCCAGGACAGGGCATGAGAAACGATGCGGTCGACGGCAGGTGATGATAAAGACTTGGTACGAATGGTGGCCAGCTTCTCTTGAAGTGTGGTTTGGTAATGGTCGATCAGGACCTGCGTAACCTTACAGAGCCATGTCCGATTGAGGGATCTAATATTCGCGTCGACAGCTGATGTTTTCATTGCTGGACGGATAAAACTATCCAACTCAGAGACTTTGCGTTTGAAGGTAAACGCTGGTTGGCCTTGCTGTTGAAGGGTAAGGATTGCCAAATGATGGAGGCACTGCAAAACTTGGAAGAACACCTTCACAAAGGGTTCTTCCTCCTTATGAGTGGGGACTGGTTGGCGTCGGTGGGCTGGTAGTCGTTTCTGTTGTTGGTCAGGTCGATGGTTACCTCTTGATTGGTAGGCTGTGTTGTAGGTAGGTCGGCGATGGGGTGGGATATAGCTGGATGGGTTGGTTGGTGGTCGGCGATTGGTAGGTGGTAGAGGTCGATGGAAGACAGGGCCGTTGTAGGGTACGTGATATTGGTTTGGTTGACGATTAGTGTTTCTATT